ATTCTAGCAGAGGACAATGTCCTATTTTCTACGTTTGTTATTAACAAAACTGATAAGATTATTGCTGTGTGTGAACATTCGTGGGCTGACGGTAATTTTATACTTGCGTATTTTATAAAGTGGATATTGAGTGAATCTTCAAATAAATTGTGTTTGGTTAATTTGCATCACACTTTAACTCATTATCAAAGCATCGGGAAAAGATTAGGTTTCGATATAATGTCCAAGATAAAAACGGGATGTATAAAAGCCATTGAACCAATGAAAGCAATCGTTGACAATTTAACTGGGGCAGAAAATGATATTGATTTTTTCGGAAATTCGGTGGCAAAGGACCTATTTCTACAAATAAAATCTGACGTACAAAACTTAAAAAAAAACAGTAACGAAAAAGTTTATGTAATAATTGACGATATTAGTCATTTGTTAGATACGGGGGTGAGTCTAAAAGATTTGGTCACTTTTTTAAACTGTTGTTCGAACCTCCCTGTAACACTGATAGCTTTGACGCACATTTCTGATAAAACTGACGNCCAATGTGCTTATTTGACATCCCACACGAAAACTGCTAGTACCATGAGATTCTACGTACATTTTTAATAATTATCGCTTCTGAAAGATTAGTAGCTACCTTCCATCTACTTATAATTTCACGAACGCTTTTTTCTTTAAATTGCTTTATACATTTTAATAAAGGTAAAGTCCGCAGGTGCTTATTTGACATCCCACTCGAAAACCGCTAGTACCATGAGATTCTACGTACTTTTTTACATAATTATCACTTCTCAAAGCTTAGTGGATACCTTCTATCTCCTAATAATTTCACGAGCGCTTTTTTCTTTAAATTATTTTATACATTTTAATAAAGATAAAGTTCGCAGGTGCTTATTTGACATCCCACTCGAAAACCGCTAGTTCCATGAGATTCTACGAACTTTTTTACATAATTATCGCTTCTCAAAGCTTAGTGGATACCTGCTATCTCTTAATAATTTCACGAGCGCTTTTTTCTTTAAATTGTTTTATACATTTTAACAAAAATAATATCGGGACGAATTTATTTGATATCGCACTCAAAAACCGTTGGTACCATGAGATTCTGCGTACTTTTCTACATAGTTATCACTTCTCAAAGCTTAGTAGCTACCTTCCTTCTCCTTATAATTTCACGAGCGCTTTTTTCTTTAAATTATTTTATACAGTTTAACAAAAATAATATCGGGACGAACTTATTTGATATCGCACTAAAAAACCGCTAGTACCATGAGATTCTACGTACTGTTTTACATAATTATCACTTCTCAAAGCTTAGTAGCTAGCTTCCATCTACTTATAATTTCACGAGCGCTTTTTTCTTTAAATTGCTTTATACATTTTAACAAAAATAATGTCACAACGTGCTTATTTGACATAGCACTCGAAAACCGTTGGTACCATGAGATTCTACGTACTTTTTTTACATAATTATCACTTCTCAAAGTTTAGTAGATACCTTCCATCTACGAATAGTTTCACAATTATTCAGTAACCGGAATGATAAAAAATCGGCCGTTAATTTCAATTATTAGTGTATCCAGAAATAAAAGGAGGTGGACATACGACTGCCACGTGTCGTGTCGTATAAAATTAGAAACTTTTGTACGATTGTGTCTCGTAAAAATTAAAAAAGTCCCAATCTTATTCTGGAATAAAAGCGAAAGAAGGTAACGCTTGCATTCAATTTCCTAAACGTTGTTTATTTTATTTAATGTTTTACGAAAAATGGATGTTAATTTCGTTAAATCCTCAGCGTTTACAGTGAGTCATTATTGTTTTTCGTAATAATAATAATAATAAATTCCCAAGTAATTTGTTTCAACAATAAGGTTCGTCATAACTTCCCCTGCTCTCTATTGACGGTTACTAATTAAGTGAAGCATTTCTAGTGAAATAGAATTACATTTCCAAAGCGAGAACCTTACGAAGTAGTTGTATATTAATTCTAAAGCAAATTCCCATGGCAACCACGGCCAATACTACAACAGATTTCTTAGGAATTCGTAATGCCGCGTTTTCAGTTCGAATCGGACGTTGGACGCTGAAAGACGTCACGTCACACGCTTACGCGCCAAATTTAAAAACGCGTAACTGAACGAAAAACTTTTCCGTCTGTTTTTGTGAAGGAATTTTCTTTTTGTATTAAATGTAACTTTCGGAAATTATAACAAATGACTCCCGAAACACCGTCGAGTTCTGGTAGCACCAGTTTAAGACCTGGGTCGGTTTCAGACGAAAGATTGATGGTGGCGGTCCGAATTCGCCCATTGAAACACGACGAAAATCAGAGAACTTTGTTCGCTTTAGACAAAAAGGTAAATCTGTGAGAACTGTTTTGTAAATTATCGACAAATACCTGATTAATTGTAAGATTAAATTACCTGACATTTTAAATCCGTACATCAAATATTTTATAACTTTTTTCTTTCAACATGTTCGATGTCCTGCCGTTACAAACATCAAACTGTTCCCTATTTTCAATATGTATCTACTGTATTTTATTTATTTGATTGCGTGCGCTCGTCTGCTAGAAACCATTTGCATTTAAAAGCTTTCTAGAGCTCGTGACTTAAAATGTACGAGATTCAACGTACTGATATTTACATTTATCTACATATATTCTTGTCTAATAGACACTAGAAACAACTGCGCGTAGTTAATATCGACAACTAATCGTCGCCACGTGTGGTAGTCATAATTTTTTTTTGAACTGCGACGAGCAGAAGTTCTTATCAGTAAACAAGATCGAGCTTGAGTTACTAGTTACGATTACTTTTCGGTATGACTTTCGAAGAGCTCTTGAAGTTTTTAAAAAGACCAGAGCAAAAAGGTTTCAACGGAAAATGTAAGTAAAATGTAAATAGAAAATACTACAAATGGCGCGGTAAACGCCATCTGTAGTACGATGCTACATTTTAGGCTTACGTATGCTCCAACAAGGTCCACTTGTGTGGATATCTACTTGCTGAAAACGAATCCCGGCGTGGTTGGTCTGTGTTCTGTCGGGCTGCCTGCGACGCGCTGATGAGATCCAAAAAGATCGAAATCGCGATCCGCATCTGGCAGTTTCGACAGAATACAGACCACTTCGAATTATTTTAAAATGTAAGTAAATGATCCCTTAAAAAGACTGTGCTAAATCCAACCGGATTTAAACGATGGCTAGTGATTGTGGCTAAGTGTTCCCTAGAAAATCAGTGGCTAACACTAGCTTCAGGTAGCGAGAATAGACTGTTACCGCAGCTTGTGTCCCAAGCAGGCGATTGCTGTCGGCGACATCACTTCAACTGTCTTCAATGCGTGACTGCTTCTAATGCCAACTACAAAGAGGCCGGGTGTTCGAGTGACTACACTCTTTTTCATACGTTTTATACAGTTTAAATGATGGCGCCGACAGCAATCGCCCACTTAGGTCACAAGCTACGGTAACACTCCGTTCGGACTTCCAGAAGCTAGCGGCAGCCACTCATTCTCTAGGGCATACTTAGTCACTATCGCTAGCAATCGGTTCACTATCGTTGGCATCGTTTGATCCGGGACGGCATTGACATAGTTACATTAAAATTCCTAGTTCGACGCTGCTACCTTTCAAAAATTAATAGCTTCAGGTAGCAAGAATCGAGTGTTGCCGCAGCTTGTGTCCCAAGTAGGCGGTTGCTGTCGCCGACATTACTTCAACTGTCTTCAATGCGTTACTACTTCTAATTCCAACTACAAAGAGGCCGAGTGTTCGAGTGATTACACTCTTTTTCATACGTTTTATACAGTTTAAAGGATGGCGCCGACAGCAATCGCCCACTTAGGCCACAAGCTGCGGTAATACTCCGTGCGGACTTCCAGAAGCTAGCGGCAGGCACTCATTCTCTAGGGCATACTTGGTCACTATCGCTGGCAATCGGTTCACTATCGCTGCAATAGTTACATTAAAATAGTTACATTAAAATTCTTAGTTGGGCGCTGCTACCATTCAAAAATGAATAGCTTCAGGAAGTGAGAATCGACTGTTTTTGCAGCTTGTGGCCTTAGTGGGCGATAGGTGTTACCGTGTTTGCGCCGACACCGTTTGAACTTCACACAAACATAGAGCAAACTGTCCTCAGTGTATAACGATTTCTAGTGACTACAAGTGGTTTAGTGTACAAACCACTATTCACTTTTCCTACAGCCGGATCCCTTGCAGGCTCCACTAGAAACAGCCATGCACTGAGGACAATATGTTTTATATTGTAACAGTTTAGATAATGTCGGCGCAAACACAACAGCAATCGCCCATTCGGGCCACAAGCTGCGACAACAGTCCATTCTCGCTTCGTGAAGCTAGCAGCAGCCACTGATTCTCTAGGATTAATTTACCCACTATTGTAGGCCACCATTTAATGCGGGTCAGCTTTGATATAGTTACATTCAAATTCCTATCTAGCGCTGCTGCCTTTCAAAAAATAATTAGCTTTAGGTAGCAAGATTGGAGTGTTGTTGCAACTTGTGGCTCTCGTGGCCGATAAATGTTACCGTGTTTGCGCCAACACCATTTGAAGTCCACACAACATAGAACAAACTGTTCTCAGTGTATGACGATTTCAAGTGACTACAAGTGGCTGAGTGTACAAGCCACCATACACTTTGACGTACAGCCGCATCCATTGCAAGCTCCACTAAAAGCAACCATGCACTGAGGACAATATGTTTTATATTGTATGCAGTTTAGATAATGTCGGCGCAAACACAACAGCAATCGCCCATTCGGACCACAAGCTGCGACAACAGTCCATACTCGCTACGTGAAGCTAGCAGCAGCCACTGATTTTCTAGGGCTAACTTACCCACTATCGTAGGCCACCGTTTAATGCGGGTCGGCTTTGATATAGTTACATTAAAATTTCTATCTAGCTCTGCTACCTTTCAAAAGTGAATAGCTTCAGGTAGCGAGAATCGACTGTTGTTGCAGCTTGTGGTCCTGGTAAGCGATAGCTGTTACCGTGTTTGCGCCAACACCATTTGAACTCCACACAACATAGAACAAACTGTCCTCAGTGTATAACAATTTCTAGTGACTACAAGTGACTGAGTGTACAAACCACCATTCACTTTTTCGTACAGCCGGGCCCCTTGCAGGCTTCACTAGAAGAAGTTGCTGCAGCTTCTAGTATCCCGAGTGAGCTATTGTCATCGCCATGTTTGTACTGTACTGTCCTCAGTGTATGATGAGTTCTGATAGAGACTACAAGTGGCCTAGTGTTCGAACTACCATTCACGTCTTCGCACACTTGCAGTCGCCACCAGAAGCAGCCTCACACTGAAGACACAGCAGCAGCGATCGCCCACTAGAGCCACAAGCTGCGGCAACAGTCCATTCTCGCTTCCTGAAGCTAGCGGCAGCCACTTTGACTAGGACTAGGACTAAGACAAGGTTAAACACTTTCGACATTAAATTTCCTATTTAGGACAAAACAGAGATAGCATTTTTGTTCTTCTTAAGATAGCACCCAGAAACTGGTCAAATGTGTGTTAGATTACCGTAAATTACTTTTCTAATAAATCAAGGAAATATTGTATCAATCATCCGAGAAGGTCGTTATTGATCTCGTCGTTACACATACAAAGAAACATTTGGTTAATGAATAATTAATCGTAAAATGATTCGGAAATTAGGAACATACTTACACCTGTACTTACTAAATTGTTATAATTATCTTTCGTTTTTAAAATTCATAGTGACCCTATTTAAAAGTTGCTTAATACAATATTAATGTTACTCTCAGNATTATAAATGCTTTTATTTAAACATGATGGGTTAGCATAAATTGCTTGTTATAATTTAAATCCTCTATTTCGTAACGAATTCTTAATTGTTTTTAATCACACAATTAATCGTAAAATGATTCGGAAATTAGGAACATACTTACACCTGTACTTACTAAATTGTTATAATTATCTTTCGTTTTTAAAATTCATAGTGACCCTATTTAAAAGTTGCTTAATACAATATTAATGTTACTCTCAGCATATTTTTAAAAGTAACCATTGAAACTTAAAAAACGAAATGCAACAGCAATGCAAATATTCTAATTAACAATTCTTGTTTTTTTTTTTTATTAACAAGTACCTACCTGCTAAAATTTAGTGACTGACGCATATATTTTTTCTATTCCAGCATGTCATCATAAGCGAAGAGGCTGCAGATAAGGGGGACACGTTGAGGTTTAAACGTGGAAATGATAAAAAATACTCATTTGATGTGGTATTCGACGAAAATTCGACACAAGAGGAAGTCTACGACGTCACCACAAAACCCCTGGTCAAAAACATTCTAAATGGGTAAGTTAAACTATTAAATTTAAGTCCAAAAGTACTTGGTGGTTTGAAAATTTCTTCCCTAATATCCTAGAAAAAGTATTATCTTGGTCCCTAATAGGCTACAAAAACAATTAGATGTTTAATTAATATGGATTTAATTGTTGATAATGCGTCAATTATTTTATTTCAACTAATCATCATGACAAGTTTGTTAATCCTATGAGTGGTTTAACATGCACCTCCACTTTTCCTGTCCTGGGCTACTCTTCTCATTCCCTTAAAACTAGAACATCCCACACCCTTAACTATTTGCGAATAGTAATCTAATGTAGGTCTACATCTACTCCTCCTAACTCCTGTTTCTGCCTCTAATATGTCTCCTAGCAGCCCCTTCATGCCTAAGAAGATGTCCTACCAACTTTCCAACCTTCAATCATCATAAGGTCGTCAGTCCTAAGGCTGATTGAACACGCACCTCCACTCTTTCCTATCCTGAGCTAATCTTCGCATTTCCCTAAAACTAGAACATCTCACGTCCTTAACTACAGTGTAAACTCATTATAACGTCACTCGATTTAACGACGAACTCCTTAAAACGTCGAAATTGCTTGACTTTGGTTGGTTTACATTGTTTTCTATACAATATTACACTCTGTATAGCGTCACGCTCACTCTATTTAACGACAATAATGCGGCATTATAAATCATTGAGCAGTACTTTCTAAGTCGCCGAAATAGATAAGAACTGCAGCTGTGTACGTTGTTGAAGAAGACGATCCTGTCCCTCCACCAAGCATCAAACAAGCACTTGATGCAGCGAAACTATTAAAAAAATACTTTTTATATAATCAAATTGATCCAGCAGTATCTAAAGATATGAGTAAGATACGTAACAGAATACAATTAAAATATTGGAGCAGCAAAAAACATCAGACGAAGATAACAGGCTATACGCAATGTATGAATACTAATGTTCGTGTGCAAAATGTGTACTATATTAGTAAATGCATATTATTATAGAATAGTAAAATAATATCTTTTATCTCTCTCCATTTAACGACCACTCTTTATAACGCCGAAAAATGTTCAGTCCCTTAAGTGTCGTTATATAGAGTTTACACTGTATTTGCGAACAGTAATCTAATCTAGGTCTACCTCTACCTCTCCTAACTTCCGTATCTGGCTCTAATATCTTCCATAGAGTCCTCTGTTATCCTATTATTTCTAATACCTCTTCATTTATAACCTTTTCTACCCACGATATCCTCATCATCCGCCTATAACACCACATTTCGAACACTTCTAACCTTTTCTTTTCTACAGTGCCCACTATCCATGTTTCGCACCCGTACAGCTTCGCACTTCAAACATACTCCTTTAAAAATCTTTCTAGAATTTCTAGATTAATCGTTCGCGAGCTTAGAAGTGACTTTTTTTATTAAAGGCAACTCGATCCTGTGCTATCCTCTGCTTTATATCCCTACTACTCCTTCCGTCCTGAATTATCTGACTTCCTAGATGTCTAAAATCGGCCACTTCTTCTAATTTTTTGTCTCCTATCTTATATTCACTCTTTCTCTACTTTTTGTTCTCTTGCATACCAGTATTTTTGTTTTATTTTTATTTATTTTCATACAATACTGTTTTGTGAATACCGCTTCCATTTTATTTAATTCTATCGTACCTAATAACAATCAAGGCGCTCTTCTTAGTGGTCAATTCTTAATTATTAACTAATTAACAATTACCTACGCATTTTACTGAAAGTCTATAAAGGAAAAATGGTTTGAAAATACCAGAAAAAGCAAATAACTTACTTTTTAACAAACAATTTGCTAACGATAATCAGATATGAAAAAGAAACAAATGCTCATAAGCAAGAGAACAAAAACGTAACTTTTTACAATCTCAATGTAATAAAACTGGCGTTAATAAGGCATAAAAACTAATTAGACTTTTTTTTCTGAACATGCCGAAGTAATTAAAAGAAAACTTTTGATTTGACCATCGACATTTCTTTCTTCATGAGTACGTTCCATTAATCATGTTAACTATTGTTTATGACACTTTGCTTTTTTGTGTTTTATATGAACGGTGGTAGGTATCAGTGTCCATCAAAATTGTTTAATTATATTGATAATGTACTTTTGTGGTTCGGTGAAAATTATTTCGAAGAGGCACGCTATAATTATTATGCCACTTCTACCATCGCATTATTATTCATGATATTGCGTGTGAAACCAACACATTTATTGACATTATTTGACGCCTTATATACACTACATTACTGCCACATGGTATAATTAATAAAAACTAGGTACGCATACCCCTTTGTATTCAAGCAATTGTCACTTTCGTTAAGCATTTATAATAACTTCCACTTAATTACACATTTTAATTATAAATGCTTTTATTTAAACATGATGGGTTAGCATAAATTGCTTGTTATAATTTAAATCCTCTATTTCGTAACGAATTCTTAATTGTTTTTAATCACACATTATAAAACTTTAATTAAAAATCATAAATATGCAAACAATGCCTTCTTAAGAAGTTTTCTCCAAGACCTTTGTGGTATTTATTCACTTTGCTTCAACCTCTTCATTCCGCTAGAGCAGTATTTTCCAACCTTTTTTTCCTCGCGAACCAAAAGAAAGGTCCGAAAAAAATTGACGAACCCCCTATGTAGCCGTTAATGACAGATAAAAAAAAGCAATAAAATTTGATAGAATATATATTTTTCATATTGCAGAATAATTGATTATATTAATCGTGAAACATTTAAATAAAACATTAATAAGACTAAAATGATGTAAATGTAGTAAACTGCCTTAATTTGATATTTATTTCCAATTGTATTGTAAAAAAAATATTACATAGCCACCCTCGTA